TAATTTTTTAATTTTTTTGTACAGACAAGGTCTCACTATGTTGCCCAAACTTCTGCTTTGGCATCTCAAAAGTACTAGGATTGTAGGCATTAGCCACTACACCCAGTCAACATTCTTTAATCAAAAAAATCATTCATAATTATTTTATAGGACATATTTTTGGAAATCTGTGTTAAGGTAAAGACAAAAACACTGGTAGAGTTTAATTTGATTTAAATAAAATGTTGGTTCAATGCAAAGAGCACCTGGGGTCTAGTTCCTGATGTGCCACTAACCAGCTATGTGATCTTGGGCAAGTCATTTCATTTCTTTAGGCCTCAGTTTCTTCATCTATAAAATTAAGAAACTGGACTAAACTTCTAAAGTCTGTTTTTCGTCTTTAATAAAATTTTTTGGCTGTACTTTTGGCAAAATCTAAGGGTTTTATTACCTTTAAGCAAGTTCATAGGAACACAGTAAAGATAATAGCTGCCATCATGTAAGTTACTACGAGATACTGCTTAACATAGGTGACATGAGCCTCTACAATCCTTCCTTGTAGTTATTATCATCTTTATTTTATTTTGCCTTTTTTCACTATTACAAACTATTTTTCAGCCTCTTAAAAAATTGATCCCCACTTTAGGGAAACCTGAGGCTCAGAGAGGTTTCCTTCAAGATCACAGAGTTTCTAATTGTTTTGTAGTTTTGAGAAATAAGTAATTAATTTAAATTCTGAGTTCACAAATTTTAAATTGCCTACCTTTTATTAAGTTGCAGACACAATTATGTTATGGGAACACAATTAAAACCTATATCAAAATAACAGATAAAGTCAGAAATTGATCCATTACATAGCATGTCTCCCATCTCTTCTCATACTACAGAAGGCACCTTGTACAGGCAGTGGCACAGGAACAGGTACTTTATGTGCCAAGTAAGGGTCTCAGGGAGAGAGTTAAGATTGTGCCAAAGTATGGGAAGATGCTGCTGTTTTATGCCATTATGTCATTGTCTCAGTAACAGTTTTGGGAGCCTCATAAAACATCTCCATGGTAACCAGAGACTGGGCAGCTGCTTCCATGCAGTCTAAGCACGTACCCTCTGAAGCCCCTGGAGGTGACCTGTTACCAGTGTTCGGCTCCTTTATCATTCATTCAGGGCTGGAATAATCCAAAGGAGCCTCCTGATGGAGGGGACCACACAGTCCTTGAATCTACATCCCTAACGTTGCACTCCCTCTACATCCTCGCCAAGGGCATGGCCGATGGTGGCTGATCTGTGGTGATGGGGAACTGACAACCTCCCCAGGCAAATAGATCTATTTGACTGTCAGAAAGTGTGATTTTATATTGAGTTGAAATCTGTCTCCATGTCAAAATCTTTTTGTTTCTATATTCATCAAAAACAGGTTATCTAAGATTCTTATTGTTTGTTTTGGACATTGAGCACTTTTCAAATCAGAAATCTTTTTAAAAAAAGACTTCGAGAGAAGGCATGTCCCTGAGATAGTGGCTGTAAATAGTATATTCTTGTTGATTTAAGGTAAAATGCTGGAACCATAATAAATATTGGCTGAAAAGGAGATTCTTTCTATGGGTCATCTGATATCCACAGACTAATCAAAGATTTTGGGAAGGAATGAGTCTGTGGCCCACCCTCCAGTATGCCTGCTTCACAATATATTTCCTCTGTTTGCCCTGAAAACAAAGGGTTTAATTTCATAGGAAATGAAACTCTGCTAACCTCTCTGCAGACCACACATTTTTTTATCTAAAGGGAATTGATTGGTGGTCACTCATCTTATAAGTACTGCAATTACACAAAAAAGACATTTGTAGGAGCAGCTACTCACTAACCATCCACTAGCAAGACGCCAGCATCAGTGGAAACCAGCAAGGCCTGGCCCCAGGGATCTGCACACACGGCTTCGTGAGGGAAATTACTGCATAAACACTGGGGCTCCCAAGGCTGCAAGGCAATACAAGCATCGGAAAATGAGTGCACCAGAGAAGATACACCATGGTCTATCAAATGGAAATGTACAGTACCACATCTGAAACAGTAACACAGATACCCACTGGAAGCACGTCACTCCAAACCCTGGGGTCTGGACTCAGTTACCTTTATTAAGAAGAAAAGTCTCCTTTCAAATACATATGCAATAGGAAAAGAGTGAATTCACATGTATCTAGCACCATAACCAGTCTCCATATTGTAACAGTTGTTCCTCAGGGGCAACCAAAGCATTGGTTAAGGTTTTCTAAGCAAACATTTTTCTTTAACACCTGAGAGTTGGACCAAATGGTGCCTGTTTTTTTAGAGAATTCACATTAGTTCATCATAAAAGGAAATTCCACATAACTCTATAAAAAGTTAGATTCCTGTGTTGCTGATTCAGCAAATTATTAAATCATACAGAATGCATTAAAAGGTTGCTATTGTCTTACCATACAAATTCTTATTGACCCACATAAGGCTACAAAATCTTAAAGAAAAAATATAACATCTGTTTGTAGAATGGCAAGTGCTGCCAATGAAACTACTTATGCTCCTCGATGTGACATATCCCATGGTATATGTGAACTCTTCCTTGAGTCTTAGTTTCATTAGCTGTCCCTCAGAGTCACGTGTGGATGCATGGAGTCAGCAGCACTATTTACTGGGATCTTAGTCACACCAGAATCATGGACATTTTCAACAGAATCATTCACTTTCCTCCAGAGCACCTGGCTTAGCCTCAAAGGACAAAGGAAGATTGTGGAGATTCTTGGGGACAAACTGAAGCCTTACATCTTCACAATCAGACACAAGGGCCTAATGTGTCCCACCTGGGACTGGAGAAGAACCTGGGTATGCACATGCAGGTGTACTTGTAAGTCCCTGGAGAACACACACTGCATACTCAAAGCGGAAGTGAAAGGCTCTGAGGACCACCTCCAGGAACCAGCAGGGCTGAGGATAAATACATTTTTGTATTTGTGCATTATTGCTCTCTTAGAAAACTATGCTCTTCCTTAAGGAAAACTACAAGCCTCAAAAAGAATATTTTAATGGCTAAGACAGGACTTACACTGTTCTGAAAAGATCACCTAAAGAATGTGATTACATTTTATAAACTGAAAAAGGGATACACAAGTGCAGACCATTATTGAAATGGTACTTCCCCAAGAAGATTTCTAGCACTTCTGAGTTTGTGAATTATACCAAGAGGACATAAAAAAGCAAAACCAATATTAACTTCAATAGGGAGAAGGCATGGCCATTAGCATTAGGTAACACCAAGACAGAACAACCAGCTCTCAAGAACAATACATTCTCTGCCCAAAGCACGCAGTTTGAACTATTAAGGCAGAAAAGGGTTCTCCTCCAGAAGATCCGAGGGCCCTTTGAGATCCATGGAATGCTTAAGGAGATCTGTGAAACCCCAGAAATAGTATTCTTAATGCTGTGTATATGTGTCATTTATACATTTTAATGGGGAGTGTCTCTTGCTTTCATGGGTTCTCAAAGGTGCCAGTAACTACATGAGGTCTGAAAAAACCACTGAATATCAGGGCATGGAGTATCAGCGATAAACTTACATCTGGCCCCACAAAGGCTCTAGTCTGAGGACTGATGGTGTTTGCCATTGCCCTGGCCCCCTTTTTGCCAAGGAGGAAGCTTAATGCGGATTCTGCAGGGAGAGGATGTGGTCTCCAGATCTTCTGGTCTAAGCACAGACTATCCCCAGTCTTCCTCTAAGAACATGAACATGGCCCATAAAACAATGGGTGCAGAGGAGGACAAAGCCCTTTGAAAACAGAACACTGTTGAGAACAGCAGGGGTCTCTGGGCTCTGCAGAGCCAACTGCGCAACAACCCATGGGACTCTCTCCAAGGGTAGCCCATGGCCCATGATAGTTTATGAACTGACCCCAACAACAGAAGCTTACTCTTTGTTGTTTTTGTTGTTTACTGGTGAACAAGTTACTGTTCACAGATCTTATTTTTAATATGCCTAAGAGCTTCTTAATAAGAATGCTATTGAAACTCACCGGAATTATAAAATGATTGGAAACTGCAAATTCGTACTGTGCACATGAATAAGCTGATAGTGGGAACCACTGCAGCCCTTGGGAATGTTGCATTGCCAGTAGTCTTGTTTGAAGTTGGTTGTAGTTTTTAGAGTTAACTGTATTTTGCACTCATCGTTTCCCTGAAACCAGACCTTAAAGCATGTAGGCTCACATAATCTATACCTTTATCATTAAGGAAAATATATTTATAATTTTTGCTTTGTTTTGTCTTTTAGATTTGGTTTCATTCTATTGCCCAGGCTGGAATGTAATGGTGTACTGACAGCTCACTGCAGCCTCGAACTCTTAGGCTCAAGGGATTCTCCTGCCTTGGCCTCCCAGTACCTGGGACTATATAGGTGCTTCCCACTACACCCAGCTAAGTTTTGTATTTTTGTAAAGATGAGGTCTCACTCTATTGTCAGGCTGGTCTGGAACTCTTGGCCACAGTGACCCTCGGTCTCCCAAATTATTGGGATTACAGGCATGAGCCACCACACCCAACTCTGTATTCATAATTCTTTTGTTTTTATAATGGACACTTCTCTAGTGACAAGCTATCTGTGAATATATTCCATTTCACTTTTACATATTCTGAACACAGACATAACTAAGAACATGGGGTATTGTTTTACAATACAAAATCATGTGTATAATAAGTTCATACTACAATTTGGTTATTTTTCTGTTCCATTCTTGATTATCATCTGGATTTTTTTCCCCATGGAAAGTAAAACCTGGAAGTAGATTAGATAACCACAGAGTTTTCTTACTGGCTGAGTGAACTGTAGATTAAGCAGTGGTTTCTCAACTGTGGTCCTCTAATCAACAGCATCAGCATCACCTGGGAACTTGTTAGAACTGCAAATTTTTGGACCCCACCCCTGACCCACTGAATCAGGAATTCTGGGGTGATTCTAGTAACACTAAAGCTTGAGAAACACTCCTCTAGAACCTTGCTGCTTAAAGTTCATGGCCAGCAGCACTGGAACCGCATGCAAGTTTATTAGAATCATAGCCTCTTGACTCCACCGCAGACCTACTGGATTGGAACACACATTTGATCTAGATACCAGATGACATGTATGCACATAAAGGCTGAGAGGTCCTGTGGGATCTAGTCTACCTGACCAGGCCTGGTCCAGTTGCTCTGCTCCATCTATGTAGGCCAAGGTACATACATATCATGGAAATACAGAAGCTTTCACAAAATGGCTAGTCAACTTTATGTGGGGCTTCCCCTGAAAACTCGGCAGCAGACAAGCTCTTCTTCCTTCTGCACCGCCCAGCAGTCTTTTCCCAAGAATCTCAATAATTTCAAGGACAAAGGACATTCACAGCTCAACCTGAAAGTGTCAACAACTCACCTCTTTTTTACAGATCCCTGAGGCTGTCATGCTTGATGGAGCATCTCCTCTCACGATGGATTTCAGTTTTAGTGCCTTACAGAACAGAGATCTCTGTTAAAGACTGTTATGAGGCAGCAAAAGAACAGCAGGATAAACTATCATGATTTGGGGGAAAAAATGAATAAAAGAAGAGTGACTTCAGACTACAATTTCAGATTCCTCTCCTGACTTCTTATTGTAAAAATGAAGTTAGCTGGATATGGTGAAGCCTTAATGACAAATGTCCCAGTCAAATTACCTCAAATGTACTGTGTCATTTCAATTAATTGATATATCAGTACCATGATTTCTAAACCTGGCACGTTAAAAAATATAGCTTCTCAGGTCCCTCCTCAAACTTGATTAATCAGAATCTCTGGATGGAGAGTCTGGGTATCTTTGAACAAGGACTAGTGTTTGAGAGCCCTATAGTGATGCACCTGTTCTGGGAAAGTGCTGTCTTTGCCTCCCAGCATCTCCCTGATCACATGGCCCTTCTCCCCCAACCTGCCTTGCCACAGCTCTCTACTTTCAGGCGGGAACCTTATCTGCAGCTGACATACTCTTTCTCCCTGCTCTGATGTGAAATCAAGGCAGACAGCTGTGTTGCCTCCTGGACCTGAGAAATACTATTGTCACATGGGAGTGAGGCAAAGGGAGAGTGAGTTCCTCCAACACCTGGAATAAGGAGATGACTGGGCGTCAACTAGCTGTGATGATTGCGTCCAAGTAATAGGATGACAATTTAGGTCTTCTGTGAGCACCAACACCACTCTGTGCTTCTCCTGCCAGGGATGGGTGCATTTCCCAAATTGGTTCCTACCCTTCAGAAAATTCCTAGGAAGCAGGCAAGTGGTTTGTATTCCCTTGACAAGAGGAACCCAGAGCTGGACCCTGAGGCCACTTGCTTCCAGGCAGTAGCATTCCCACCTCTGTTGAATGATGCTCTCCCAGTGACACCTGTAGAACTCTGCATCTACCTGGTTCTCAAAAATCTCACTCATGGTTTCCACAACAATCATAAGATAAATCACAGAGCTCTTACAGCAGCAGGTAAACAGAAAAGTCTTTGCACATGGGTCAGCTGGTTTGGATGGGGCTTAAAACTTTCTACTTGTCTCAAAGAAAACATTTCAGAATAAAACCCACCTGCCCTATTCTAACAAACTCTGCCTGGCGGGCCTCCTCTTTCTTCCGTGCCGACTTGGGCGACTCAGGTAAGACATCACTAAAAGATCGTCTATTAAGCATGTTCTAAAAAAGAAAAACAAGTTATAAATTCTACAAATGGTTGTTAAGTCTCAGCCTTTGGCTTCTCTTGACGCACAAACCTATTTGTCCAAATGCTTCTACCTTCCGTATTCACTCACTCAGTAAGCATCGCTGGAGTATCTGCTGTGTGCCAGAGACCAAGGGAGATGCTAGGATAAGATCTGTCAACAGATGAAGATCCAGTACTGCCTAAGGGCTGAGAACATAGCTTTGAAATCAGGCAGACCTGCAGCTCTGTCATTCACTCACTACTTACTAACAGCGTGACCTAGGCCTCCACACTTCACAGCTCCAAGATGCCAGTCTCACAGAGTAGTTCCTCATGGAACACAACATAATGAATTCTGTGAGAATGGCAACCCTAGAGTTGTGCCCCTGTGGGCCATCGTGGGCAAGTTAGTTAACTTCTGAGTCTCAGTGTCTTCGTGTGGGTAATATCTGCCTCCTAGATATGCTATGAGAACTAAATGAGGGGATAAACGTAAGGTACTTAGCACAGTACTTGGCACATACTCAGTAAATGTGGGTTCTCTTCCAAACCATAGTTAGCAAATGGGGCACACTCATTCAATCAGCAAATACTGATCAACTACTACTCTGCCAGATTTCAGGAATGTGATAGCCTATGTCTTGTGGAGCACAGAGTGTAGCAGGGGAGACAGATTAGGTAACTAATGACATGACTGGCATATGTGATCATTGTTATGAAGAAGAGTGCAGGGTATATGAGAACAATTGACAGGGAACAGAGCTTGGGAAGCCTGGCTCAGGTGGTGATGCTTTAACTGAAACCTGAAGGACATCACGATTTATCTTAGTACACTCTGCACCTTTCCCCAACCTTAGTGAAAAAAAGGAATCAACACATTACCAGTTAAGGTTTGCTCTTTAGAGTCCTGGGGTTAATCTGGCCCGATCCTTGGGAGGAATTAGGGTGCAGTGACCAGGCACAAGTCAAAGGGTGCCTATAAAATGGTGCTGGTCACTATGTCAAAGGGAAAGACCAATGAGCACTAGCTCATTTTGATAATCTCATCTGAAACCTAATGTGGTATTTATTTATACACATCATCAGATATTCCTTTTCCTAGAGCTTATGAATGTACCATTTCCAGGGGAGACTCCCCACTTGTTCTGTGCTTCCTGGTTGAACAGGGAAATGTTTTTATTTATTTTTATTTATTTATTTATTTTGAGTCATGATCTCACTCTGTTGCTGAGGCTGGAGTGCAGTGGCATGCTTATGGCTTATCACAGCCTTGAACTTCTGGGCTCAGGTCATCTTTCTGCCTCAGTCTCCCAAGTAGCTGGGACTACAGGTGTGTGCCACTATGCTCAGCTAGTTTTTTAAATTTTTTGTAGAGATAAGGTCTCACTATGTTGCCCAAGCTGGTCTCAAACTCCTGGGTTCAATCGACCCTCCCACCTCAGCCTCCCAAAGTGCTGGGATGACAGGCATGAATCACTGTGCCCAACCAGGAAAATGTTTTAAAATAATGATTTTACTCTGTATTAATGAGTCCCTAACATTAGTGACATCACACTAAGTCTGGAGGCTTCCAACAAGCACACGTGCCCTGGAAGTGACAGGAAGGTACTGGGTCTCATCAATGTGTATATACCTCAGGCCTAGGAAGTGTTTGGCATAAAGTGGGTGTTCAGTAATGGAAATGCTTGTTTCAGTTCAGTGCCTGAATTGTAGGCTTGCCAGTAAATCTCCAGAAAGCTTTAAAAAGCACCCTCTTTTCACAATCCCCATTTTTGCCTATCAGCTCCATGTCATTGGTAATGTTGCACAGTATTACCAAAGAAAGCCACCCAAAAAAGTACTCTTCAACATTCCAGGGATTGCTCACTGACCCTCACCTCCTATCCCTGGCCTGAACCTTGATTTTCATAGTCTTTGGCTTTATGAAAATCATATACTTGTAAGTGGAAACCCAATATCCCTCCTTCTTGTGGTAACAATGAGAGAATGTCAGACCATGGTGGCCACAGCAGTCTTTTTTTTTTGAGTTGGAGTCTCACGCTGTCGCCCAGACTGGCGTGCAGTGGCCGCTCCTGGCCACCGCAGCCTCGACCCGCTGGGCTCCGGCGATCCTTCCGCCTCAGCCTTCCAAGTAGCCAGAACTACAGGCGAGTGCTACCACGCCCAGCTAAGTTTTGATTTATTGTAGAAATTTATGTTCTCAACTCAGACCCCCTTCATAGGAAAGAAGACCATGGACCCAGAGTTACCTTATGCAAATCTGGCATCAAATCCTGATATAATGATCGAATCAACATATCCAGAGTACGCCGACGTTTCTGGGCAAATGTTGGGGTTTCCAAAGTGGCTTTTTCACCATTAATTACTAAAACAAATCAAGTTAGAAAGAGGATTACAAATATGAATAGCAATTGAATAATATTCTTCTCAAAGAAATACTTCACAGGGAATGTAACCCACCTTTCCAATACTGATATTACCACTGGTATGACCTTTCCTTCATGGAAGATTGCTTAAAAACTTGAAACTTCTCTATACAGATTCATATAGTCCTAGGATGACTATCTTCCCTTTCTTGTTGGACTGTGAGCTTCCTGAGTAGAGTATGTACCTAATTTTACCTAAAGACCTCTTTAGCTATACACTCAGCCATCAACTCACCCCATCCATTCCTCCCATCCACCACCCTTTCATCCATCTGCTACCCATCCAACACATTGGGCCAAACAACCAGGGTGCCATTCAACAGGATTAAATATATATTTTCTATATTTTGTTAGAAAAAAATTGTCTCAGCAGAATACTGGGATTCTTAGCCCAATGGAAGTTTCCTTGGAAAAGAGCTGGGGTTTTAGTGGACTACAGACACTAAGAGCGAATCAAGTAGAATGTCAGGTACACATGAAACATAGAACAGGAACGGATGACAGAGGGTAGGAGTTTGAAGTCAAGATAGTTACGGATATCTTGACGTCAAACTAACTTAGCTGCTAGCAGTGTATTCTTAAGCAAATTACTTAGCTTCTTGTGGCCTCAGTTTCTTACCTCACAAAATGGATATATCTATATTTCCTTAGAGGGTTGTTGTACTTTAAATGAAATAATACATATAAAGATTTAGCACAGTGCTAGGCACATAAGAGTAATACATATTAACTATTGTTTTTCTCATACAGAAGGCCAAAGCAAGGTCAGTGTTCACAGACTGAAAAATGGAACTTCTTGGGGATGGGCATTTCATAGGTAGGATCTGTGTGCCGGGGGCAAGCTGAGACATAAGACACTTATGAGGAACTTAAACTATGCATATCTGTTATTTTCCTTAGTTCTGTGCCTGGGAATTTTTCACTGAGGATTTTTTTTTCTGCTTAGTACCTTATAAAACTCTATTTTATTTATTTATTTATTTTATTTATTTATTTTTTAAATTTTTTTGAGTTGGAGTCTCACTCTGTCCCCCAGACTGGAGTGCAGTGGCTGCTTCCAGCCACCACAGCCTCGACCTGCTGGGCTCC